TGACCTCTGTCGTACCCAGTGAATATTGTTGCTTGTCATGTCAAACCCAGATATGACACATGACATCTTCACTGTCTCTCCAGGTCTTTTCACCTCAGAGGGAGACTGGTCCAGTTTGATCTCACTCCAAACTCCTGTAAGCAAAAAATTCTGATCATTATCCAACAAACTTGTAAATCACAGGTTGGACATTTACAAAAGAAGTAAAGCAGAAATGATTTCTCACCATGAATAGTAACTACAAATAATAAACTCCAGATAATTGTATTGTCCATTCTGTGATAAACACTGTAGTTCAGCTCTCTGATCTGAGTGTTTCAGAAATATATAAAACTGCCCCAGTGTTCTGCCACAAGTTGCTGATGGTGTGTTTATAATAGAGGAAGAGTTTGCATAGACCTCCCTCTACAGGCTTAAAAAGGGAACATATGACAGACACATTTCCATAAGTAGAGAATGTCTACAGCAGCAGAGGAAACCATAAAATATCAAATTCCTGACAACTAATTTCTTGACAAACTGCAGGGAACAAAACTTCCATATTGTACAATGACATGACTCATGCAGTTTAGAGGCTTCTTTATCTTTTCCCATTAAAAAAACGGAAAAATTTATTTTGTGTTCATTTGTTCAAACATTTTAAGAAATTTTTAAGAGTGTTTTTTCATGGTGTGGTCTTTGTTAAGGGAAGTCTTAATGCTACAGCATACAATTATAGACAATTGTCCTTCCAACAGTTTGTGTTTGGCCTTTTCCTGCTTCAGTCTGACAATGCCCATGTGCACAAAGCCATCTCAATAAAGAAATGGTTTTCCCAGTTTGGTGTGGAAGAACATGACTGGCTGCACAAAGACCTGACCGCTAGCCTATCAAACACCTTGAGGATGAAGTAGAACAGAGATTGCCAGCCAGACACTCCTGTCCAACATCAGTGTCTGACCTCACAAATGTATGGAAGCGTATAGGGGACTAAATTGAAATTATCATGCAAACTTGAAAATGAAAATGTAATCCTACAATAACATTATCATTTTCCACATATGTATTATTTAGGTAAAAATGATAATGAAAATGCAATCATTTTCATTTTCATAGACTGGCTCTGACTGGCTCTGCTCTATAGTGGACTTTAGTTAAATGCAATGAGTGAAACATGATGTCTATGAAGATTCTCAGTCATCCAGGTCATAGTTATCCATCGAAGGTTAAAATCAAGGGCAACTGGACTTGGTTGAAGATACTGGAAGACTTTTCGTCCCTCATCCAAAGGACTTCTTCAGTTCTGATGGACATATCTGCCCAGTACATCACTGAGAAAGGTCATGGACTTCATCAAGAAAGCACAGCTATCTCAGCACAACAAGAGCAAAGAAAGACAGACCCGGAAATTCCAAAACCTACAGTCCAGAGCGAGCTGCACTAACAGAACAGGAGAATTGTCTTGGAGGAGAAAGGACAATAACCCCACAACACTTGAAACAGACAACAGATGGGTGAAAAACTTGTCAGATAGGGAACTCACCCAACCAGAGAAAGACGTTCTGGCCAAAGGATTAAACTTCACCATTACACCACAGTAACTACCGATAGTAGACCTCATCACAGCCACAGAATCAGAACTGAAGAAGTCCTTTGGATGAGGGACGAAACGTCTTCCAGTATCTTCAACCAAGTCCAGTTGCCCTTGATTTTAACCTTCGTTGAATGAGTGAAACAGCGCCCCCAGTCTATTGCATTTACATGTCCATGTGCTCATGGTCCATTTAAGTCAAAATTAAAATTATATTCCCTTTTTCTAACTATGTGACAATGAAAATGAGAACAGCATTTGACATTGCATTTTCAAAGACTGACTCTGCTCTATAGTAGAATTCAAATGCAATGAGTGAAACAGTGCCCCCAGTCTATTGCATTGCATTTACATTTACAAGCAGCTTTCCAAGGGACACAATGAAAATGCAATCTGTCAGTCCTCTCATCTCTCAAGACTTCACTTCCTCTTCTGTTGGAAGGCCACTTCAGGTTCTCATGGTTCAGTTGTGTATCTACCATTACCCAACACTAGGCTGAAATCTATCAATCGAACAGCTCAAGGATGGATCAGTACCGACTTCAAACTTGGAACCTGTTTTGCCATTTTTATGTCGCTATTCTGTTTTTTTGAACACTTGCCTGTTGAACTTGACATTAGCATATTCTGCAGCTAATGTGGCTAACTGTAACGTCAAGCTGTTTCTGTTGTGTATTGTGACATTAAGCCCACACGCCGTCGCCTGTATGTGTGTCTGTTGCTGCAGTAGCCTATGTAAGTTTACCAGGTCGATGCATGGCACGTGCAAAAAAACATTAACTTGCTTATACCCGAAAGCATCAGTGTCCCGCTGGGCAGTGTCAAGCCCAGGCTAATACAAACCCATTCTCATTCAGAGATATACAGTGAGGAAAATAAGTATTTGAACACCCTGCTATTTTGCAAGTTCTCCCACTTAGAAATCATGGAGGGGTCTGAAATTGTCATCGCAGGTGCATGTTTACTGTGAGTCAAATCACAATGTATGATTTTTTAACTATTTATTTGTATGATACAGCTGCAAATAAGTATTTGAACACCTGTCTATCAGCTAGAATTCTGACTCTCAAAGACCTGTTAGTCTGCCTTCAAAATGTCCACCTCCACTCCATTTATTATCCTAAATTAGATGCACCTGTTTGAGGTCGTTAGCTGCATAAAGACACCTGTCCACCCCATACAATCAGTAAGAATCCAACTACTAACATGGCCAAGACCAAAGAGCTGTCCAAAGACACTAGAGACAAAATTGTACACGTCCACAAGGCTGGAAAGGGCTACGGGGAAATTGCCAAGCAGCTTGGTGAAAAAAGGTCCACTGTTGGAGCAATCATTAGAAAATGGAAGAAGCTAAACATGACTGTCAATCTCCCTCGGACTGGGGCTTCATGCAAGAGCTCACCTCGTGGGGTCTCAATGATCCTAAGAAAGGTAAGAAATCAGCCCAGAACTACACGGGAGGAGCTGGTCAATGACCTGAAAAGAGCTGGGACCACCGTTTCCAAGGTTACTTTTGGTAATACACTAAGACATCATGGTTTGAAATCATGCATGGCACGGAAGGTTCCCCTGCTTCAACCAGCACATGTCAAGGCCCGTCTTAAGTTTGCCAATGACAATTTGGATGATCCAGAGGAGTCAATAGAACTTTTTGGTCATAATTCCACTAACCGTGTTTGGAGGAAGAAGAATGATGAGTACCATCCCAAGAACACCATCCTTACTGGGGATTGGATACCGGGTTGGCACAGGCATCCCCCGCAGCTCCTCAACTCCGAAAATACAGTATATAACTCAATAAAGGACGGGGGAAAGCCAAAAAGCACAATACCACCTCTTTAAAAATGTTCAATGCAGATTCAGTTTGAGATCATTTGATTTAATTTATGCTGTCAAAACTATAATGAAGTTTTTAAAATAAGAAAATGTCTTGTCTTGCTTACAGACTCATTCACTACTATGAGTAAAAGTTTTTCATAAACCCTTTGTGATAACATGATATCTTTGTAATACCACAGGTCCCGTAATAGTACATTTAAAAAAGACCAAGACCAAAAATAAAGCACTTTATTCATGGCCAATGAAATGAAAATGAAAATTGGGTTAAAAATGCACAAAAGTAGCAAAGCCATAACATTTACAGAAACTGTCCAGATCATGTCCCATCTGATGACACAGTGGTCATCATGACGCGTCTTCCTGGGGATGCTTAGATTTTTCTGATGCTGCTGGCCGCTGTGTTGTCTTCAGGCCTTTGCTTGACTGAAGCATGACAGACTCCGACTCACACATCAGTTTCATCAGGTCACTCAGATGATCAGTAAAACATGAAAGAATCACAGTTCCTTTCAAACCAACCTCCTGATTGGAAGAGGCCCAGGCAATCCTGAGTGACAGCCAGTGCGCTGCAGCAGCACCAACCAGCCAGCGTTTCTATTTAAACTCAAACTTAGTATTTCTCGTTTGCCTGCTGGAATTCAGAAGAGGATGTTGAAATGGACTACCTGCAACATATGCAAGCAGATCGGTAGATTGTTACCAGCACATGGTCATTTCAGACATTACAGCAAAGTACTAACCTTACAGTGTTGCGACTGCTCCTAAAATGACTCACTAAACAGTATACTCCCTCTTGTGGTAAAAGTGGGAAATAACGTCTACTTTATGTTACAGAAAAATACACAACGAAACAAACATTGTTAATAGCAGTATTAACATGAGTTCTACAGCTAAGTACAAACCTGTACTTGAGGAGGAGGGAGGAGTCCTCTGTTGTCTTCTGTCAGCCTGGCAGGAAACACCTCTGCTGGCCTGTCTGCAGGAAACGCTTACAGTTTAACCTTAGTGCAATATCATCTCAAGTGTGTAGTTATGATAACGCTTTTGCACTGTTCATAGCTGTAACTATTACAGCTATGTAGTTGATATGACAGACAGACTGACTTTCCTACAACATTAACTTTGACTGAGCTGCGGTATTGTCACTAATACTAGTATTGCAGTAATGTGAAGTATATCTCTGAATGAGAATGGGTTTGTATTAGCCTGGGCTTGACACTGCCCAGCGGGACACTGATGCTTTCGGGTATAAGCAAGTTAACTATGACCTGGACAACTGAAAATCTTGACAGACAAGATAACCTAAATTAATACTTGAGTTTGTTGCAGATGGTTGAAGGTCTGGATTGTTTAAGGTTTTTAAAGTTTTCAGAATTCAAATTGCGGCTGTTGAAAGCCACAGTCATACAGAGAAACTTGAAGCCTTAAGAGGAAATTAACTAATTGGGAAAGGAAAACTGTTTGATTATGTGTACTGTTGTAGCACACAGGAAAATGTCTGTCAAATAATGTGTGTGAAAAATCACAATAAAGAAAAGTAAAAGACAAAACAGTAGACAACTTGGAGAGTTAAATGAGTGTACAGCTAAAGAACAGTTTGACCCTCCATTTATTCTCTCAACCTACAATCTCTGTAGGACTTCTAAATCTAAAGTTAGACAATTAGCAAAACCATTGAACTATGCGGATGTATTACATTGTTCAGCTACTAATTTTATAGTTATGGATGTTATGGAATAAACAAGATATGCCTATTTAGTAATGTGATTTTCTTAACAACAATAACAAAAGTAAAAAAAAAAAAAGGGGGGGGGGGGCCTTTCCACAGATCTATCAACACAGGCAGGATGAGTACTGTATGTATTTGTACAGCTGCTCAAACAACTCCAGTCACTGTGAGTCTCGAGCACAATAATAAACAGCAGAATCTTCAGTCTTCAGACTGTTCATCTGCAGATACACCTGCTGTCTGTTGTTGTCTCTGGAGATGGTAAACCGGCCTTGAACTGACTGGGAGTAGTATTTGCTGCTACCACTACCACTTTCAATCCAGGCAACCCACTCTAGTCCTTTTCCAGGAGCCTGTCTAACCCAGGCCATCCAGTGGTTACTGAATGTGAATCCAGAGGCTGTGCAAGTCAATCTGTGGGATTCTCCAGGCCTTTTAACCGCTGGTTCAGATTCTGTCAGAGTCTGACCATCAACACCTGTCAAGATCATAAAAGCACATCAAGTGAAATAAGCTGCTGAAAGAAATGCTCTGTAAAATTAAGACCTGTGAAAATGTTCACCTGCCCAGCAGACAGTTAAAAGCAGCAGTCCTGTCCTATAGTCCATCATGTTAAACTGTGTGTCCACTGTTCTCTGTCATCCTCTCTGCAGTCAGATAAGTAGAGGTGGAAGACATCTGAGTTTTGCATTGACTCCTCCTCACAGGGAGGAACTGGATTTGATTTGGATGTTTCAGTATAATGTGCACAACAGGCTTTATGCTGATAAACACATAATTTAATTAAAAGTTTACAGTAAGTAAAAGTTAAAAAAGTACAGCAAGTCTGCATCATGTGAAGACTTTCACAATAGTTTACATTTGTTTTTGTAGCTAGCATAGTTCACTACTGCAGTCGCAAGTTTGACTAACCGTCCTAATGGCTGACTAGGTGAGGTTATTTTGTCATTATCGCCTTGCCTCAGCCCACACTGCTGTGAGTGACCATGGTCCATATGTATCATGATAACATTATTAAGATTATTAGGCTAAGGGATCCCTTGATAAAGATGTGACTATAATATGGCCTATTGTGCATCACCTGAAATTAATGAATGCTTATGTATTAAGAAAATCAATGCCATGCATTCATTAAATAAACAGTTATTGGCTCATTCCCTGCATGTTATTATTGAAACTGTACAGCTTTGTCAGGGAATTCCAACAATTCTGGACCAAACAATAATTTGAAATGATGCTGTGACTTCTAGCAGAGTTTTTTGTTAATTTGACAATTACTTGAACTTGTACTTGAGTATGAGCTGTGTACTCAACCTCTGATCACCAGAGAGTCAAGAAATGAGTGCTAATGAGTACATTGATCCACTTGCACGGGTAAACTTATCCACAGCACTTACTACTCCGCTTTATAGTGGTTTGGGGGAATATTACATTAAGTACACATTGTGCAGGGCTGCCTGGGCCAAAAATGCCAGGGCCGATATTTTGATCGTTTGAGTAGTACTGCCATAGTGATCAATGGCTGTGATCAGGGTTGGGGAGAAACGGATTACATGTAATCACGTTACGTAATCAGGATACAAAATGAAAGTAACTATATTCTGTTACAGTACAGAAAACAAAGACATGTGGGGGTAACACATAGGGGTTACCATTAAATGAAAAGTGGATTGCTATTTGCTGTTTACGTGTTTCCTGTAAAAACACACAACTAGTGAGGGATTTGTCGCAGACCTTGATTGCCAGTATAGCCAGTAGTTGAATGTGGTTACGCCCCCTCCCATTCATGCAGACTCTGTGTGGACACTGCTGGATCGGGTTACATTTTTATAGTAAACCTCCCAACCCTGGCTGTGATGCAGCTGGCCGTGGTGGAGTATATGGCTCGTCAAAGTCCAGCGCCATCTTTTTACCCCCAGTCCATCCCTGCTGTCCAGTAAAGCTTGATTTATACTCCTGCATAGGGTCTACGTGCGTAGCTACGTCGTAGGCTACGCATGTAGCCAGGTATTTATATTTGTGCGTCGGTGTGTCCGTCATTCTGCAATTACACCCGCAAACGCTACTCTGCAGTAGCACTACAGCGTCCACTGTGTTGACTTTTGCCGGCCGAGCAGGCTAACTTCTGGTTTAGCGCTCCGCTAACGTGAATGGGGGTAAAATTGAATACGTGCTGCTGGTACAGGCTTTTCAAATATTACCGACTGAATGGCAGCGATGCTCACAAGTCTTTGAACTGGAGTCCAAGGCAAGTCTCAAGTCTCTGAGCAAGAGTCCAAGTCAAGTATCTCTTGGTTATTACGAATGTTGTGTCACCTGCTGCGTTCAATCCAGGTTGCGAATAAAACTTCATAGCTATAGGAATTCTGTAACTGTAACCTGCTTTTCATTTATAGAGCACAACCATGTAATGTGCAATGCAATTATTGATGGTTTATTAAATACTGTAAGTCAAAACACTCCCCACACTGTTAAACCCAGTGTAACATTAACTAAATAAAACTGTGATGTTACATAATCAACAATAAATCTGTCTGTTTTTAACTTACAGAGCACAACCATAACGTGCAATGCAGTTAATCACAGCTTAAACTACTGTAAGTCAACACACCCTGCAGACTCTCAAACCAGTGTAATGTTATAACTAAATAAAACTGTAAGGTTATATGATCAACAATTGATCAAAAATAAACCTGTAACCTCTTTCCAGCCAACGGTAATAATTAACGTGATGGCAGCCAGCGGGAAGTAAATAATTACGTTAATTGACTGCCACAAGTTTGGCGCTCAACGCTCATTCATCTTTTCATAACGAATGACAGTCAGAGTTAACCTCTCGTAGGTCGTAGCTGAAGCAAGAAGCAAGCTAACGTTAGATGGCCTAAACTGAGCTAAACATGTTCACTCACCACAGGTTACTAACCTATTTGCGTTCAGCGCTTCTTTGTTTGGCTTTAAAACTTCATACAACAATACCCAAAGTTTATGATGAATGGCACGACAGCTGCTGGTGTTTGTTGACCTCTCTCACGTGCGGCTGCGCAGCAGATGTTGGCAGGTTATAACAGAAGGACGGAATAACAGCAAGCTCATCAGACGTTTCCTAAAAAATAAACATTGTTCACGAGTCCCGCGCCTTGAGTCCGAGTCAAGTCTGAAGTCACTGTGTGACTTAAGTCGCACACACAGTCCGAGTCTCTAACTCGAGTCCCCACCTCTGCTGAATGGATCACATTCTGATAGCGAAACGAATAATTTTTCTGTCAAATATATTGATCCACCGTGCACGTCAGGCGACGGCGTAGCACCGTAGCCTACGCCATTGATTCGATGCAGAAGTATAAATATAATGTCAACATGCTTGTTGTTGTTTTTTGAGACATGCTTGTTTGTTTTTTGAGACATTGTTGAAAAAACAACAAAAACTAGAACTGCAAGCAGTTGTCCAAGCCTCCCGGTGCAAGCCGCCCCCCTTGCCCGGCGGAGGGCGCGCGAGTCGGCCCGGGCCCGCCATGATTAATTGTCGTGGAGAATAAAGGACCAGAGCTCACAATGAAAGGGGCTTACAGAGATCTGAAATGAATTAATGTCTATGGGAGTGTTATTTGATTTCCAATTAATAGCACCACCTAGAGGCTGATTGACGGCAAATTTCACACAGGCCCTCGGGAGACATCCTGTTTTCGGCGTTTGCCCAAACATTTGTTTGCTTGTAATTGAGAAGTTTTTTGGCGGATCAAGATTCTCAATCTTTTATTGGCTCGGTCCAGAGATGGTCCGTGCAAAGTTTCATAACGATCGGACTTGCGGCTTCGGAGGAGTTAATTAGTATAGGCTTTCCAGTTCTCGCGATTTAGCGAAATGGAAACGTCATCACACACAGGCATGTCCAATCCCATCGGAATCGGCAGCAACCCCCAAACACATAGACATAAGGTTTATGAATGTGCGATGTAGTGGCGCGTAGTTATGAGGATAAATGTCCTTTGGATCAAAATCCCATTGAAATGAATGGGGTATTTGAGCTTCCATTATAGCAGCACCTTAAGGCCGAATTGCATCAAATATTTCAGGTGTCAACAGGGCCCCATGGGGAACAATTGACCCAAATTTGGTATCAATCGGACTTGTGGTTATGGAGATATAAAATGCATATAAGTGAATGCGCCTTTTCTTTTGCGTCTTTAATCTGCAATGACAGCGCCACCTATGGGCATATTTGTGTGAACATTGGCGCCTCGAGTCAGGGGACCATGCTGAACAATTCGGCTGTGGTTCTATGTCAATGTGACTTCTGGTTATAGAGAAACAATTTATTCGAATTAAATAGCGCCACTTCAGGGTGAGTTGCATCACATTTTGCACAGGCCCTCAGGGTGGCGTCCCACATTACTGGTCCAAATTTGGTGTTGATCGGCCATTCCAAAGTGAAGATGTGACATCATTTCCTGTTTATAGCGTTATTTCCTCTACAGACTTTCATCAGCTTGGTCCAGAGATGATCTGTGCCAAGTTTGGTATCGATCGGACTTGCAGCTTCGGAGGAGTTAATTAAAATAGGTTTTTTCAGTTTTCGCGATGTAGCGGAAAAAAATGTAGGCGGAAATGGGCGTGGCCTATCGATTCAGCTAGATCCCCCGAACGTGTGGATATAAGGTTTTTGATATACGCCTTTATGAGTGGGAGTTCCAAGCCCAAATGCGTTGACCTTGCTTATAGCGCCCCCTAGAGGTAGAAGTAGTAGAAGTAAGAGGTAGTGTGCAAATTTTTTCGCCTGCCGTCGTCTCCTGGGTCTGAACCTACCCTGTGAGTTTCGCGTCTGTAGCACTTACCGTCTAGGCCGCAGTATTGGAATTAGGCGAAAACGTACGGAAGAAGAATAATAAAAATCCTAACAATTCCAATAGGGTTCCCAGCTCCGCTGGTACTGGGAACCGCGATGCCTTGAATTCGCGGTTTGCCAGCGCACTCGGGCTTGGACCCCTAAAAACACAACCATTAAGCAGCATCTGCATTTAACACTGGAGCAAAACAGCAGATTCAGCTAGTTGTCAAACTTCAGTCCAACCTAAACAAGAGAACATTTAAAAAGTTGATTGATCTCAAAGAAAAAAACGTTTTCCCCAAATACAGCGGGATTCAGATGTGTGTCTAACCTTTTGATTAAAATTTATTGATTAAATTAATCCGTGTGCAGCTGAGAAGTCATTCTTGGTTCTTCAGTTCTCACTAGTTTCAATAATATACATCAGAAAGGAGGGATATAAAATAATTGATGGTAGCATAGTATCACTCCCTGCTGCTGCTTAGAGGAAGTAATACAACTGCTTTGATGAATTTCAGTATGTTGTTAGTGTGGTGTTAGTTGTCATTAACACTTCAGGCTTTCTTATAAGTCATTGTGTATGTGGAACTCGACAGGAAATAAAATAAAAGTTTATACTACATTGAGAAAGTCAAAAACAAATAGCAAAAAGCTCTGTATACAGTATATTTTTTCCCTCTTGACAGGTGTTGATGGTCAGACTCTGTCTCCAGAGACAACAGCAGACAGCAGGTGTATCTGCAGATGAACAGTCTGAAGACTGAAGATTCTGCTGTTTATTATTGTGCTTGAGAGCCACAGTGACTGGAGTTGGTATGAAATCCTACAGGACTCATCTTTACCTTTAGCTTTTTGATAGAGACTGACTGAGTGATCACCAGCAGTAGGTGACAGTCTCACTTTATGAGTGTTATGATGATGTTATATTATGTTATATTATGTTATGTTGCTATCATTGACCCTGGACCATTGGTCCCTGTTTACCCTTACCTTTCTGCTTCACCTACACAGTCATCCTGCTCATTCTGTCCCTCGGTACTGTCACTGTGCTGTCACACACCTCCTCCTCTGCTTGGCAGTGGCAAAAGCTATACTTTACTTCAAGTGTCTTTGGCAGCACAATGTCGGGTACTGCTGCTGAATCTGAAGCTACTGCGGCCCCAGTAGCAAACATAATAGTTATTTTGGCACATTTGGCAAATATATAATCTTTTTATTTTTTATTTTTATTTTTTAACTAAATAACTCACATAACTAACCCAAACCGTGATCTTTTCCTGAACCCAACCAAGTAGTTTTGTAGCGTAAACCTGACCGAACTGCAACAACATTTCACAACATTAACCACGTGTTTTAATTTGAAAGTCTAACTGGACGTTATGTGTTGTTATTGTCACACATATATTATCATTCACTCTAGACTCCACATCATTTACAGACATAATTGTGTATTTATTTGTAGAAATCTTCAGTGTTTGTAATAGTTTAATTTGAGCAACCAGACTGTTGTTCTGTCTTTGACTATTTTATCAATAAGTGATTTTTATTGTGTTTTTTAAGTGTTTCACAGGAACATTCAAAACAAATTTAAAGCAAGATATATATAATATAGCAGTGTTTCCCATACATAGGCTTTACTTGGGCGGCCTTTTAGGACACTGTTTGAACGTGGTTAAGGCCACATGTTTTTGCTGAATCTCAAGAAATGGTACCTTTACTAAGTGTAATAATATATTAACGATTAATGTTCATAAAATATATACTGATCATTTATCACTATTGATTAACCCCACAAAGAATAGTATAGTATTTAAAAGCAGAACTTTAATGCATGCAAAATTCAAACACCTGTTGACATTTTATAAAATCTGAAATCTTTTTGTCTCTGTAACAGTGAACTGGTGTTGAAGTCATTAGTGGTCTGAGGGCTCCTCCTCTGGTGGCTGCATGTTACAAGTGTTCAGGCACTGAGGGGTTTTTGTTCAGGTCTCCTGATGGTTTGTGTTATTGTGACTCTCTGGCACAGTAATACACAGCAGTGTCTTCAGGCTGCACATTCTGTCCGTTTAGAGTCACTCTGTTGCTGGAAGAGTCTAAGTCGATACTGAACTTGTTCTTTAGTGAATCTTTGTAATGTGTGCTGGAGCCAACTCTCATTCCAATCCACTCCAGTCCTTTCCCTGCAGGCTGTCTGATCCAAGCTGTCCAGTAGCTGCTAACAGAATAAGAGACCTGACAGGTGATGGTCAGACGTTGACCTGGCTGCACAGTCACAGAGGCTGGCTGTGTCAACTGCTCACACTTCACACCTGTGGAGGAAAACATGTTGAATGTTGAATCAGTGTGATAACAGTGAACAGTCAGTGTGCTGTGATCATACTGTCAGTGTCTCTGCCTCAGTGAGACTCACAGGATCCGGCAGCCAGCAGCAGCAGCAGAGCTACAGAAAACATGGTTGGTATTGAAGGTGATCTGATGGGAGCTTCTCTTCTTCTGCTGCAACTGACAGCATGATATCAAGTCTTTATAGCAGACTGTGAGGAAGTTCACTTTGCATAGAGAAGGACACTGACAGGCTATAAGAGAAGGATGAACTGCTGTAGCACATGTAGTCAAGCAAGACTCTGATTTGTATCATGACCATTTATTTCTAAACAAAACCAACAAACAGGTAGATTTTTAAGTGTCTTCAGACAAAGACTCATACCCTCAAAGTGTTCCAGTGAGCGGCAGAGGAGCTCATTCCTGCTAGCGGGCATCAAACTGTTTAAGTCATTGCCACTTTGTCACAGTGGACATAAGTGGACGCAAGATGTCTCCATAACTGGACTTCGTAATTAGACTTTTCCGTAACTTCTGGCAGCAATACATACTTTTAAGGTGCTGGCAGTTAGTCGTGTAAATGAGTGACTTGACAAAAACCAATTTTGTAGGAAAATAGTTTTCATAAAAAATGTTGTTCAAACTACAAATCATGTGGAAGCTCTTTTTGTGTAAATGTTACCAAAATCTCACTGTTTTTGTATCACATGATATCAATCATTGTAAAAACAACATCAGTGATTTAGTCTGTCCTTCACTCTGCAACATATATGTAGAGGTGGAAGAGATCAGAGTTTTGCATCGCCTCCTCCTCCTCAAAGAGCAAAACACTGATTGTTGATGATTATTTTGAAAATGTGTTTTTTAACGATGTTCCTCAACTTATTCTGCTAACTTTTATTTAAACCATGTTTAGATCAGCCAGGCACTCAGTTCAGTAACGTTTTGTTGACCATTGCTATGATGGACATATCGTGTGTGTCAGTTTTGAAATAATAAAGTCACAGCTGCTGCACATTAACAGAAACATTATCAACCATCACTTTGCTGTTGAAGAACAGATCTTCAGTAAAAACCATAGTCCAACATAAGCTGGTGCTACAATAATGTCTGTTTGTGTGTGTGTGTGTGTGTGTGTGTGTGTGTGTGTGTGTGTGTGTGTGTGTGTTTAGGTGCTCTGTCATACTGCTCTTAATATCAGTATGACATAGTTAATTACATAAATAGAGATTGTGTTTATCATAACGAGTTTTAAGATGTGACATCTGATGCTCCACACAAGGTACAAGAGCAGGACAGAAGTACACTGCACAGAAAAGATTTGCATCAGGATATCATGGGGAGGGAGGGGCTCTGTTCTAGTTTCATTGAATTGTAGCATTTATCATTAGTTTGTTTAAAAAAGTAGCTTTTCCTTTCATGTAAAACAATTTCACATCCATAGACGGGAGCCCATTATTGTTTTGTAAAGTTTTATAAAATACTCCAAAAATACAAATGAGGGCTGTCTGTAGACTGTTAAGTTGAAGTCTCAATGATCTCTCTAAAATGTCTGGTTTAATCACAGGGAGTATTTGTGCAGGTCTGTTGGTGGTTTGTGTCACTGTGGAGCCACGTATACAATAATACACAGCTGTGTCCTCAGGCTGCAAATTCTGTCCTGCTCATTTCACCGATGAAGTTTGTGTGTAGCAAAGGAACTTGTTCTTCAGAGCATTATTTTGGTGAAGGTCTCCTCCTCCAAATCGATGTAAAATCCAGTCCATTGGTTTTCCTTCACACTGTCTGATCCAACCTGTTGCATAGCTGCTATCAGTCAAAGAATAACCAGAGACCTGACAGGTGATGGTCAAAGACTGTCCAGGCTGCACAACCATCGTGTCTGGCTGGATGAGATCAATACTGTTCACACCTGTGGAAACAGAAATCAACATTATCTCCATCAGTCATCTGACTATTCAGTGTTTCTAATGTGTTTATTAGTGTGAATCCACTGAAAGCTCCTCACAGGATCCAGCTGCCAGCAGCAGTATCAGAGCTGCAGAGAACATGTTGATGTTGAAACTGAACTGATGTGAGCTCTTCTGTCCTCTCACTCACACACACACACACACACACACACACTTCACTTCCTTAAGAGTGACATGTATTTGCATACTGTTGAAGAATCTTTTACAATTTATTGAAATCAGCTGAATGTGTAAACAGTGTGTCTTCTCGATTGGCCAGACTAGGTTGAGAAATAGCTTTTTATTTAAAGAACATATTTTTTGATCTCATATGGATTTAAATGTTATCATCTAGATAATTAATTTAGCAAATGGCGCTGCACGGATTTGAATTATTGTAAAAAATTATGACATGTGTTAGTTAGTATGTTAGTGTAGGTTAATATAGAAAAACTGAATATTGTATGATACAGATCTTTTCACTCTATGTGAATTATGTTGTAATTACAGTAAGGATGTCTTCTTTTAAATGCAGGTGTTGCTGTGAGTCATTAAAAACTGTCCCACAAAACTGACAAATACATTTGTATTAATGAAGTGTGTTTCATGGCTATTTGGCCATCATTCAAAGGGAAATGTGTTTTCAAAGCTCTGACATGCTTCAGTGCTTCTCATACAGAAACGAGTGTTGTTCAGTTTTTGTACAGCTTTGTAGTCTGGTGTGTCACTGTGGCTCTCGTGCACAATAATAAACAGCAGAGTCTTCTTGTTTCAGACTCTTCACCTCTAAGTACACAAGGTTTTTGGACGTGTCTTTGGTGATGGAAAACTGCCCTTGGAGACTTTGGGCAAATATTGTGCCAGTTCCACTATCAATGCGTCCGATCCATTCCAGTCCTTTCCCTGGTTTCTGACGAATCCAGTGCAGCCAAGCCAGAGAAAGACCTTGCACTTTACAGGACAGAGTGACTGGTTCTCCAGCTCTGCTGACCACTGGCTCTGAGGAGGTGAGGGACTGGCCCTGAGCAGCTGAAAGAGACACAGAGTTTAGATGACAGGGAGCCAGCAAACATCCAAAGCTCCTTTTCTCCTCCGCTGGACACCGACTTTACTAACCTGAAATGAGAGCCAAGAGTAGGAAACTTTGTACAACTGTCATGGTGGAAACTTTGCAACTGCAAACACATGATATGAAGGATATATATATTGTGCAGGCAGAATGGGTGGGGACTGTGCATCCGTGTGTGAATTTGCATTTTGCCTGTCTGAGATTGTGGAGATACAGTGTTGATACACAAAGACTGAATCTGTCAAAAAAAAACGAGAAACAGATACAGAGATGTGTGTTATTAACCTTTTTTGGGTGAGTTTTTCACTGGAGTGTATTTGTGCGACAGACTAAGAATGTGGGTGTAGTTATAAGTTCTAACATTTTTACAAGCTGCTCGGTCATTTTCATTTCAAAACTCGCAGCGATGAAGTGAATTAAGGCAAAGAAAAGGAAAATATGAGAAAGGAAGACAGGTTTATTATTGCAGTCTCATCTGTTCTTTCAGTTTTTACCAGAAATTCTCAAATCATAAGAAGAAACTGCAGCTCCTTCAGTCTTCCAGCTGTTTATCTTGAAATCAGTTGAAGATGGTGAATTCTAACTAAATGAACACATGAAGCTGCAGTCGCTGCTGATCCAGCATTTAAAATGTTCTATTAGTGTTGTGATGAAGAAAGCTCACAAAGGGAGAGAGTTTAAAAATCTAGTTAAGTAAAGCTCAATGAGATCAGCAGATATGAGATTCTCCTTAAAGTGAGAGAAACTTGACACTGACTGCCCTCTTAGTGTTTTTTTAAATAGGAACTGCAACATTTTCACTCCCACAATGTGACCGTCTGTAGAGGTCAAATCATTTAAACATGAATGTGGCTGGCATGTGAAAATGTATTTTATTCCTTAAAATGTCTTTAATAAGACATTTTTATTTATTGTTGTTGGTTAATGATGATCATTCTCTTTTTTTATTAAAAACAACAACAACAAAGGTTAAAACTAAAAAAGAAGTATTTATCAGCACAGTAAAGATGAGTCCTGTAGGTTTTTGCACAGCTGCTCATCCAACTCCAGTCACTGTGGCTCTCGAGCACAATAATAAACAGCAGAATCTTCAGTCTTCAAACTGTTCATCTGCAGATACACCTGCTGTTTGCTGTTGTCTCTGGAGATGGTAAACCGGCCTTTGACGGACTGAGAGTAGTAGATGCTGCCACTGCTATCACTGATAGTAGCAAGCCACTCCAGTCCCTTTCCAGCAGCCTGTCTGATCCAAGCGTTCCAGTGATGGCTACTAAATCCTGAATATGTACAGGTCAGTCTGTGGGATTCTCCAGGTCTTTTTACCACTGATTCAGATTCTGTCAGTGTTTGAGCCTCAGTACCTGCAGATATTTAAACACCTCATTATAGTCACTTTTTATAATATCAGCATCTTTCCAATAAAGACTTTCTTTGTTCTTACCTGCCCAGTTAATAGACAGGATGAGAAAAACAACCAAATAATCAGGTCTGATCATTTTAAAAGCCTGTTGTCTCTGTCCAGTCTACACTGTAAATGTCAGTGATTCAGTCTCTCTGTCCTTCACTGTACAACACATATGTAGAGATGGAAGAGATCAGAGTTTTGCATTGACTCCTCCTCACAGAGAAACACACCACATCTCTGGAAAACAGTGTTTTACATCATTGTTTAATATCATTATTATTATGATATTTTTAATTATGAAGATTCTTCTCAAATTATTCATTAGTAACATTATTCATACACAAATTAGATGTTTTTATTGATGTTGTACAGCAAAATTTTGTGGACCATCCATATACTAAATATATCATGCAGAAATGCTAATCAGAAACCACAACGGCAGCTGTTGCTTTCATATTGTGCATCTGTGTGTTTTTTGAGTCACTGTCATACTCCTTAGTTAGTGTCATATGACTTCATATCTTCTACTGCCACCTGTAGGTCTTTGTAAACAAATATTCTGAGGAGTTTTTGTAAAGCCTCTCTGCTTCCTTTAACCAGTGTGTCTCTGGGACAGTTATACACAGCAGAGTCCTCTGGCTTTAAGTTGGAGAGTCTCAGATTCACCATGCTGTTGATGTTATCTCTGGTGACTTCTATTCATCCTTGCACACTGCTGGTATAAGTGTTACTGGCAGGAATGTGGCCAACCCCGATGCATTCCAGTGCTTTTCCTGCAGGTTATCTTATACAGCTGTGACGGCCCGAAGTTTGGGCCCTCTCTTGTTCTTTGTATCTTGCTGTGTTTTGTCCCTTTAATCCAGGTAATTGGTGGGTGGAGCTGATACCTGGTGTAAGATGCAACACACCTGAGCAGGAGGGGCTCAGGTGGCTATAAAGGAGCCTGCTAGATGATTTGACTCCCTCTTCTCCTGGCCTGCCGACTGATTCTGTTTTGTTTGGTTCTTTGTGTTCTACACCCATACACTCCACTCACACATACACTGCATACATACTGATCTGACAGACACTTACAACTGTATATTTTGCTTAATTTACTTATTAAAATACCTATTATTTTCAGACTGTGTGGTTTCCTGCTTTTGTCACTTGTTGAGCCAGGTTGTGACACAGCTCATAGCACAACAGGTAAATGTGAAGCCAGATCCTCTGCAGGAGAGACTGAGAGTCTCCCCAGGCTTTTTCACTACTGAACTGGAAGGAATGGACTCCATACTCTGACCTGTACAACCTGATGAGATGAAAGGAGAGAGGAACCACAGAAGAAAGCGAGACAGTCATCTGGGAAGTTTTCTGGGATCATTGACTGACCATCAGTCGATGTTGTCTGATAAAAGATAAAACAGCAGGAAGCAGGAGAACTCACAGGGCAGAGAGAGAGCAACCAGCAGAAGAGTGAGTGTGTTGATCATCCTGAGGCTGGAGATGTGACCTCTGATGCTCCACACAAAGTACAAGAGCAGTCAGCAGGACAGAAGTACACTGCACAGACTGAAGATTTGCATCAGGATATCACGAGGAGGGAGGAGCTCATGTACAGGCACTCTGTTATTCTGTTTTATTTTACTGAATAATTAATTTTGAATTCATGGCTTTAATGTAGGTTTAACTGATCCACATTGTATAAAATATCACATCAGAAAACATTTACTTATGTTATATGACTTGACAAAATAATTGAATCATAAAAGTGGATCCAGTGCATCCAGTGGTTACTAAATGTGAATACAGAGGCTGTACAGGTCAATCAAGTAGTAGATCCCAGCACTGTCATATCTGATATAAGCAAGGCAGATTTAACTGAGTTTTACATTGACTCCTCCTCGCAGTGAGGAGCGAGCTGGATTAGGCGGTCAGTTTTTGTTTGGTGAAAATGGAACATGAATGAACCTTGTAACTAACTGGTGACTTGTCACCGGTGTATCCTGCTTCTTGCCCAATGTCACCTGTTCACCAGCTCCCTCCTCCCGCAACCATTAACAAGAAGGAGGTTTTTGTTTTCAGTTAGACAAGCTTAAGAAATACATTTATTTTCAGTGGCCTTTGGGTGTTGCTCTCCAGGTTTATGTATTTGCTTCAAAAAAATTACAATTAAAGGATCAGTGTTTAATATTTAGGAGGATCTGTTTACATATATGCAATATAATATACATAACTATGTTTTCAGTGGTGTGTAAAGACCTCATAATGAAGCATTATGTTTTTATTACCTTAGAATGAGCCATTTCTATCTACATACACTGCGGGTCCTTGGTGTGCTGATTGTTTCAACAGTAGCCCAAATGGACAAACTACTTTACAGAGTGTGTTTCATCACTATGTTTAATATGAAGAAGAAGATGTATTAGTAGTCAGCTTGTTTACTTGAAGTAAGAAAAGAAGAGATATTTGGACAAATGGACCCCACACCTATTATTTAGCACAAGAGCCGACAGAGCGTATCGGCCACCATAACTTCTCCTGCGCTTGGAAAGGGAGGGGTGAGCGGCGAGTGATGGTGCATTCATCGGTGTTGGAAAAATCAGAATCTTTTTTCTCCTTGAATCTTTATTGCAAAAAGAGAAATAAAGTACATGGGACATAAAGAATT